TATAAAAGTGCCACAACATTTTTAAATGCTTGATTGTCCGTGGTCATATCAGATGTGGAGGAAACCCTGTTTCGTGTAGTTCACACCCGTGGTCCGCGCGTGAAAGGGACAAGAGGGTCCTCTACGCGTCGCCAGCGGCTCGACCCATCTTTCTCTTAGTACACGTACTTTAAAGTCAGATACGTCGAACAGTGATCAACAAGGTTGCTGTGAATATGTCTGTGTTCACTTAAAGTATAGCGCAGAGCCTCTACGTTCTGTAGCTTGATTTGGAACAAAAAACCACAGACGAACAGGAACACTTCTCGTCCTTTGGGAGTCTTTTCCTCGGAACTTACAAAAACTGTAAATTGAAAGCACACGGTTCTGTTTCTAGAAGCAAATCTTACGCCGGTGGAAAGACATGGGTAGTGGTCACATTGACAGTGTGAGTTATTTTTTTAAATGTGTATAAACGCCTATTGTGAGTCCCTCACTCTTTTAATCCCCTACCCGTTTCTGCCCCTTACTAGGTCGAAGATCTGTTCTTCCAGTGTGCTTCCATTGTGAAGAGCCCACCGCCCGAGTTTTCCCATGTGACGTTGACGGAGAAGCAGCAGTTGCATCTATATGCCCGTTACAAACAGGGTTATGAGGGGGATAACGTCACACCTTGCCCGGGGCTCTTAGACTTTGTCGCGCGGGCGAAATGGTCAGTTCCTGGGTTGCATACAGTTGCGAAGGGTGTATGCTGAAGCTTTCTTATTACGTGCGTATGCGCGGTCGCACTGACGAGACTGGGTAACCTTCGGTGGCCTTTGAGAAGCCAGCAGTCCATTTTCAAGGATTGAGCTTCCGATCATTTATCCCACAGGAAGGCGTGGAAGGCATTGATGGGAATGGACGCGCTCCAAGCACAGTCCGAATACATCGATTGCGTACAGGCCTGGTTCAAGGAGCAAAGCCCCGAAATGGGCTGCCATGCTAGTGAGGGCTTAAAGCAGACCAAGATAACGTCGCGCTTTCAATCACACAGGGATTCGCGTGCGAACGAGCATGTTGATGACACCCTCTTATTGGGAAGCGCGCCTTTCCGGGGGATAGGGGTTATCGGTCGAGAGGGCCTCAACAGTGGGTGTGTTGACAGTCCGGATAGGACCAGTGAGGAGAGGGAAGGAAACAAGAGAGGTGCGGCGAATGAGCACGAAGACATTTTCTCCTGGGCCAAGGAGGGCTTCGTGGACAAAGTGCTCGCCTGGTTGGATGGTGAGAACGAGCCGGCGGAAGGGGGAGCGATCGGGCCACTTCCACGACACGTGGATACTAGAGATGAGGAGGGTCGGACCCTGTTGCATTGGGCTGTGGATGGAAATCATGGGGCGCTTGTCAAAATACTGCTGGCGCGGGGAGCGGACGTGACTGCGACGGATAAGGAGGGAGATACCTGCTTGGATTATGCTCGATTGTGTGAACACAAAGAGCTCGTTGAACTGTTGGTGGAGAGGGAGGCGATAACACAGGATAGGAAAACGAAGGAGACAACATGGTGTCAGGAATAGGGGAAACGATGGAAACGGGGTTGTATTGAACATTAAAAAAGAATTGACATGACGCTTCTTCAAATCTGGTGGATGCGGCAACAGTGTAGTACTAACGCATCTGTTGATGAGCTCTGTGAGGCCAAACTAGCTTGGGGGGTAATAAATGGGCCATTCAGATATGAGGAAATATCCTGGTTTCAAGATATAAATCTGAAATATACCTGACTGTGAGTTGTCAAATAATTGACGAACCATACGGACGTATGTTTTCTTCGCTTGAATCAAGTGGGAGGGTGTATGGCAGCGTGACAGGCGTGGACAGGACTTCACTTGAAGTTTCAACAACAAGCCTAACGCGGCGGTCTGTATTTTCTGATATCGCCGGGCCAAAAAGGAGCCCGTACCAGCAAATGTCGCAATCTTTACGCTTTGCATGGACGGTCACTGGGTTGACAAGCTAGACGCTACACAATTGTGGATTTTCCGAAATGGTGTTGAGCTTGGAGGGGCTGGGTTATTGTTGGTAGTTGGTCGCGTTTTATGCCTGAGCAGCGAGGCGAGCATTTTCCCCGCCTATTTCGACCGTGTTGCAACCTCTTTAATCAAAACGCACACGAACCGCACAGGCACAGATCGATGGGTTTTTTGCATTCCATCTACAAATCTTTTTTCATAAATTCTTCACTGCAGCCTGCCACGGAATCAGATCGGTCAACATGCACCCGTAAAGGCCATGACACCTCCCACCCTTCCTGTAGCCCGAAAGGGGACGCGCCAACTTGCTCCTACAAATCCTCTCCATTGCCCCAAAATACGGGTACAGGTTGCCCCTTTGGCTTCAGTTCCACCAGGTGCGATGATATTGATGACGTGGAGCGTGATGAAGAGGTTCAAAACGCTGGCGTAAGCTCCACAGGCGTCACAACCTTTACCCCCCCTCTATCCGGACGCAACCGCGTCGTCCTTCTCTATGAGCATTACATCCATTTACCGGCGTTACGAGCCGTATGGGAGTCTCCAATCACCGAACGGCCCGAATTGGAGCCTTGCTTCTCCGCGGCATGTCACGGCATGGAGATTGGCTACCTGTTGCTCGCGCATTTTCTCACCGACCAGCGGACCTATGTTCAGAAGCGTTCCCGCGTCGAACTGGTGATGGAGGACCTGATGCGACAATACTCCTTGCTGGCCGAGCTCGTCGATGGCGAATTGGAGGAAGAGGAGCCACTCGATCAATGTGTTAGGGACGGGCATGCGCAGCCCCCGACAAGGGGCTCGAGCTCTCCTGCGCCCCAACCCCCCCAGCTACTGCCGTCCTGCTCTCCATCCTCGCCCGCCTTCTCGTTGGGTGCCGCCACGGATGGAAGCGAGGATGGCAGTCCTACCAGCTTCACCGAGACGGACAGCAGCAGCGGCAGCCACCTTCGGACTCAGGGCATGGGCAACCCTCCCAGTCCCAGCGGGGGCAAAACGGGCGGAGACAAGACCGACATTCCCGGGGGAGAGAGGCCCACGTCTCGGTCCTGGGGATTTCCGGTGCCAATAAAGGAGGAGGGAAGCGATCAAGAAGCACGCGTACGCCTGCAGCCTCTCCGCCCTCTGTCCTCCCTCACCCAAGACTTTCCTTTCCCTTGCTGCCCCCCGACCTCCACTGTCGGGGCCCGCTCGCCATCTCTCGACCTGCTCCTGGAGGCGCTCGCCCAGTCCCTGCCGGCCATGACCCCATCGGAGCGCGTCTCGGTGAGTGACGACGGATGGCGGGGAGGAGGACGACAGGTGCCGGAGTTGGCTTTCCTGCGGACAGCCCTATTTACGAGAGGTGGTTACCCCTTGGGTTTCCACCAGCATTCCTTTCTCCCTCTTCCCGCAGCCTCCTTCACCCTCGTGAGTCCATCCCCCTTCTCCCTCCCGCCCCCAGGTCACCAAAGTGATCCGGAACATCACCCACGCCCTGGACGGAGCCTCCCGGGCTTGGTCCGTCGGTCTCGGCATCGAGGGTCAGATGAACGAGCTCCGAGCCTTGGTAAGCCTGGCCCCCCTCGCCTCTTTCCAGGAGCGTGAGTCCAGCTCTCGGCACTTGGACTATGCGCGTTTGATCCGGCCGGAGGTGGTG